TCACCTGAAACATGAACACACACACGCACACAGACGGAGTGATTACCATACACCAACACACACAAAGGAGCTCATTCTTGCACAAACACACACCTACACTAGTATCATTTAAGCAGATATAATAAATAAAACTCTTGTTCATAAATGGATATTAAACTAAGCAGCATCTCAAGCACGGATCAGATTAGATGAGATCAGATCAGATCAAATCATAAATGACAAATCACATATTACAATAAACAACATGTTTACTTAACATGATTTAATTGTGTTTTGTATGTTAAATATTTATGTTGATGTAGGGATTAAAACATAATCAATTTAATACCCAACAGAAATCTATAAACACACATTGATTTTAAGATGGTGGTTGAAGGTAGGTAACACGAAATTCTGGGTTTAATGTTTCGTGCTATTTGACACTCGTCAGCAAGGTGTACATGTAATCTTGAAGGAATGAATGCTTCTTGATGAATTCGATCCCTTGTCAACTAGCTTTACAATCAGAGATGTTACCAATGAACTATCTGGTTTGCGATTGATCTCCTGTAGAACAGAGACATATTCACAACTGATTGATCAATGGATGATGATCAATGTCATGTATGTCAGGTCCTTCTTAGTGTAGATTGAATCCTATCGATCAAATTGCAATGTGTCCACTAGTCAAGGTGACTTGACATGACATGAACTATGTTGAAATAAGATGGTGGTTGGAAGTAGTCAACAGGAAACCCTGAATCCACATTCATGTTTTCATGAATTCTGATGATCTATCAATTAAATAATGTGATATTCACTGTGCTCACACTATAGAAATGTGAAAATTCAACAGTAGATCCCTACTATACGTCCGATCAGAAATCGTGCTATGAGATCTGACTGACGATTGATTGCATACATTGTCATTTACATTTATATTAGACACAGACAAACTAACATACTGAACAATGATTACTCCATGTTTCTCTAATTCTATAGTCTCCCTAGACAGTGGTTTACTCTGTAATAAGTTTAAGTACATTCATCATGATTATAACAGAAACAAATCTCTTCATTTTATCACATTGTTTCTTTCGTATGATAACTGACGAAGACCATCGGGTGATTTACGAAACTCTCGATGAGACTATCATTTATGGATGACCTTTGGACTATACTAAAGTGACTTTCAGTATGTTCAACTACTTACTACATCTAAATGAGGATTATATGAAGAATAAGGATTATGATTTACGGTTGATGATTAGGGTATGAATGAATTTCGCGCACAAATCTAAGATCTGTTATCTTATATCTGATTGGTTCGTCCATAAATTACAATCTCATCAAATATCTTCATTGTGTCAACATACAATTCACCAATACAAACTGTTAGATGAACAATAAAATTCGGTAGTTACATTACATGGAATTCAATGTCATTTTAAATGGTGGAAACATTTTATCAACAGTTACATAATGGTCTAGAAATTAAGCGTTCACGCGTGAGACCGATAAATTCTGGGTTCGAATCTCACGGGGTGCGGGATCATGGATACGCACTGCTGAAGAGTCCAATAATAGGACGAAACGGGCATCCAATGCTTCCAGTTTTTCTATGGTCGTCCATTATATGCACAAAAAATCCATTCTGATGATAGTTACACAGTTATTCAATCGTAATTCAAATAAATACATCTTTAATAAGTCATGTTAATCTTTAATGATCTAAAACTACTTAATTCCGTTATTTCAGTAATATAAATGCTAAAAATTTTCAAACACATTTCTTTTTATCAGAAGGGTTTTGGGGGAGAGTTTATTAATTTCATTAGTTGAATTCATGAGTCAGTTGAAGCTAGACCACCAGAGAAAACCTGGAAGCACTGGACGGCTGTTTCATCCTAGTATGTGACGCCTCAGCAGTGCGCATCCACAATCCCGCACCGCGTGAGATTCGTACCCAGGACCTATTAGCCTCGCGCGTGAGCGCCTAAACATTAGATCACTGACCCGGCACCCAACGGTGTTAATATCTAACTTCAACCAATCCATGAAATTGCACCACCGTCACTATTATCTTCAGTGAGTTGGTATTTCACAACAGAGCTGTTTGAACTCCACTGGTCACGGCTTCTTACTAGAGCTCCAGAAGTGTCTCTTGAAGTCAGTCAGTAGTGAGCAGATGATTATTATTGGGAGGGTTTTTTGTGGATATCACAGTAATCTCCATGGTTGAGATCATGAGTCAGTTGAAGCTAGATCACCATGGAATACTTGAACGCACTGAACGGTCGTTTCGTCTTATTGTGCAACTCCTCAGCATTGCAAATCCACGATCCCGCCTCGCGAGATTCAAATCCAGGCCATCAATTGCTTCCAGGTTTTCTGTGATGTTCTGGCTTTAACTGTATCATGATCTCAACTATTGAAATTACTATAATATCCACAAAAAACCCTTCTGATATTAATCAACATGTGCTCACTAGTGACTAACTTCAAGAGGTATTTCCTGGAGTTCTATTGAGAAGCAGTGATCAACGGAGTTCAACCAAGTGTGTTGTGTGATAGTAAATCACTGAAAATAATTGTGGATGGTGGCTCAATTTCGTGAATTGGTTATATTTAGACATTATTACCATTGGATGCCAACCGACTCAGTAGTCTAGAGGTTAAGCTATTCAATCGTGTGACACCGACATGTCCTAGTTTCGAATCTTACAGTGCATGATTGTGGATGCTCAATATTGACGAGTCCTATATAAAATCAAACGAAACATTCATTCATTGTTTCCAAGTTTTCCCATGATGATCCCTATTTCATTTAATTCATGATCTCAATTATTCAAATGACTGAAATCTCCAAAATATTCCCTTCTAGAAATGTAATAAAGTAATGTATATCATAATGAATAAGTTTATATTTTTTTTCTATTTTTCTATCTATTCCAATATTACATGATTAATGATGAGGTCATAATAAATGAAGATAATAATAACTGATGATTGTACCAATTAACTAATCGATCTATCTATCCATTCATCCATTCATCCATCCATCCATCCATCCATCCATCCATCCATTCATCCATCTATTCTTTACTTTTCTTTCTGTATATATCTACTACTTAAATATGCTGATATTAATAACAAGTTGATTTTAAATTGACCTCCTTTTTTTATAAATTGTGTGTAAATGGATATATATTCAAGTCTTATTACATCTATGTATGTCTATATAGATATAGATAGATAGATACCCATAAGTGGGTGACAGTGTCCATGTGGGGATTAAAAGTTAAATTAACCACTCATCAAATATTCAATTTTTTTTTTAAAAAAAAGGGGATTTCATGGTGGAGGTGGTGATGACAATGATAATAATAATAATAATAATAATAATAATGATAATTACCATAACATTAATAATAATAACAATAATAAGGAGAATAGGGGGGAATGAGGGAGAATAAGGGAGAATAAAGAAGAATAATAACAACAACAACAACAACAGAAAAATTGAAAGTTGAATAAATTTTCAAAATGAATTTTAATTTAATTTCTGCATCAATAAACTAATCTAATCAAGAATGGATTCTGTTCACCACCACCCCTACCCACACACACACACACACACACACACACCCATCACATACCCCCTCTCTCTCTCTGTCGTTCGTTCGTTCGCACACACAAACACATACACTGTTTCTTCAATTGTTGCCTTCATCATTTGATGATTTGTGGTGAACAAAACAAATAAAAAATTTTTTGTTTCTTTGTATATCCTTCCATTTCAATATATTAAATCTATGTATCTCTATGTATAGTTAAGATTAAAGAATAACCTGTTTTTTTGTTATATAGAATGAATTTATTCATCATCTATGAAATGAAGTGTAGTGAAGTGTAGTCAAGTGAAGTGTAGTGAGCTGTAAATTAGAATGAATGATACAATAAAACTTTGATTCATAATAATCTATCAGAAGATGTTTTTGTGGAGATTATGATCATTTAAATAATTGAGATCATGAATTAAATGAAATAGGGATCATCATGGGAAAATCTGGAAACAATGAATGAATGTTTCGTTTGATTTTATATAGGATTAGTCAATATTGAGCATCCACGATCCTACACTGTAAGATTCGAAACTAGGACATGTCGGTGTCACACGATTGAATAGCTTAACCTCTAGACTACTGAGTCGGTTGTCATCCAGTGGTGTTAATGTCTAAATGTAACCAATACACGAAATTGAGCCACTATCCACAATTATTTTCAGTGATTTACTATCACACAACACACTTGGTTGAACTCCGTTGATCACTACTTATCATCATAAACTAAATTCGATTGGAAAACCATTGAAAACCGGTAATCAGTGAAGCGTTGTTACGTCAGAATAATCAGTTATTCAGTAATATGACTTCACAATTTCACATAGGAAATACGTCAACATTCTGTTGAGGAAATTTGTTAAGATAAATACTGCATTTTGACTATTCATTTACTGATATTTATAATTCAAAAATTAAATAAACCAGATTCCAGTGGAGGAAGAAATCAGGACGAGAAAAGAAAGATCAACGAACACATGTTCTCTGGTCTTCCTCTTCTCATTTGATCTTGGG